AAGTGTTTTAAGTTTGAAGAAAAAGATCATTTGAAAAGTCTTTAAAAAAACTTTTAGTTTTAATTATTTCTGGTTTTATTTATAACTTTCTCTCCGAAAGATTTTCTAAATTATAACCAACTTATAAGTTAATAAAAGTTAAATTTAAATATAAAGCCATTAATAAAATGAATACTAAAATGAAAGACGAATGGCTTAATGAAATAGCTATCGATGAAAATTGTACGTGTTTTGTGTCATTTCCTATTATGTGATCATTTTTTATTTATTTGTTTCTTGACAAACGTCGGCCCAAAATGATTATTGTAGAGACTTTGGGCAAACTATTGCTCAAATTAATACATATTATATTAATGAAATGCAATGTAATTATAGGGATGAGTACCGCTGTAGAGTACGCGCGGCCGGAGACCCGACGAAAGCCCGTATACGATATGATGGACGACATTGTCATCAGTGGTATCGCCGGAAGATTTCCCGAATCCGATAATATGGACGAATACGCGGACAATCTGTTCAAGAATATAGATATGGTTACCGAAGATGACAGACGATGGCCTATAGGTTAGACACAGCGATTCAAGCGATCATATTATATGATAGTAACTATAAATTTTGGTGCAAATATTTGCCAACAAATAGACCTAAACTCAGGAATCGTGGGAAGAAGTGGCAAATTAAAAGAGATCGACAAATTTGATTCAGTCTTCTTCAGCACATTTGGTCTGTTGGCGGACGCGATGGACCCGCAGGCGAGGATCCTCTTGGAGACCACTTATGAGGCCATTTGCGACGCCGGTATTAACCCGCAAACACTTCGGGGCAGTCGTACCGGTGTTTATGTGGGCATCAATACAGTGGGTGAGTGTTTCCACTCAATTAACACCTTTTCCTTTCGTAATAGATATTAAATTTACATTTTTATAATAATAATTGCGTTACAAATCTAATCACTTATCGCTAATATATTAAATATTATATTCATTTAAATGTTTTGAATATAATAGCGGTTTAGTTAAGTATAAGAATAATATTATTGACTAATTTCGATAAAAGTCAGACAACATTAGCGTTAAATTATGTGTTTTTTTTGGTCAAAGTTTTCAGACATTTATAATTAATTTGTCGAAAACAAAGAAGAAAGCAAACATTATTTCAAGTAATTGAATGAGGAATTGAATTATATAAATAGTAAATAGAAAAATTAAATAGATAAATATTAATATAAGTAGTTAATTGGCGTTTAAACCACCCATATTAAGTGAACGCCACATATTTTAATCTAATGTTGATATTTATATTTTGAAACTAGATTTTTGTGATTTAAATTTATAAGAAAATAATTATTTCTGACATATTTCTGACATAACTGAAGGCATTATACAAACCGATAATTTCATTGCCCTTATTATTAATGGAAAGTTTAAGACAAACATTTCGTTTTCAATCGATTAACTTGTCTTTACATCAAAATATTTCTGTTCACTATTTCTATACATTAAATGATAAATAAATACAACCAAAGGATTCTTACAGACAGACAGATATGAGACGTTAATTATAAAGAAATCGTTAATAATTACTAGTATTAGACATTAATTAAGTCAATCTTTAATAAAACTTGTATTCACTAAAAAAGATGTAAAATTTCAATGAAAATCCAGACGTTATAAAGAAATTAATCAAAGAAAATGTAAATGCCTTTTGATTACTCAACCAAAATTAAAATAACTATTTTACACATTATTATTATTATAGACAATATAATGCTATTTTAATTAATTATGCCTTGTTTTACATACCTTTTCAAATGCATAATATATTCTTTGCGTTATTAACAAAACTTTGATTTAATAAGCGATAAGAATTTTGTGAAAAAAAATGATTTTTTAGTATATATTTATTAAATATGCATTACATGTATCGGTATTTAATATAAATTTGATAACAACAACCGTATAAATCAATAAATTATTTTTACGATAGCCTAACACTTAGTGTTTACTGTTATTTAAATAATAATATTTATTTTATGATTATTTTTTTGGCGACTATTAGCGAAGAGGAAGAGAAACAAAAAGTAAATAAACTATAGATAAATACGAAAATCGGTTGATATATGATAACAATTCGCACAATTAGTTTCTGTGGTTTTTAAATGAGACAATTGTTTCAAAAAATGAGAAATAATTTATCATTTTAAAAAATTGAGAGCAAATTCTTGTCAAATATTATCAAGACTTACGTCTCGCTAATCATTATCAATAAAACAGGATATTGTCAGCGAAAGTAATAAAAAAGTAAATATCGTTTTATTGATGATATCCTTTAAAATAGTCTGACTTTTAATACTTTTGTATTAGTTTTTGAAATTTTTGTGAAATTTTTGAACCCATAATAAAGTATAAAGAGTTATAGCATTGATAAAATGCATACAATAAGTGCTTACAATGTATACAATATATGATTATTGCCATTATTATAGTAACAAAGAGCAATTTAAAGGCCAATTTGAGTGACAATATAATTGATAGAAATAGGAGGGCATCTGAAAGGGAAAGGGAGACTGACTTTGCGTTTTGAATGAGTTGAGTACCGATTGATTTAATAGACACATAACATAACACCTGTTGTCTATCATTGCATCTCAACATCAGATATGAGCTAACAATAGATGAAGCGTTCATTACTTGGAAAAAAAGTCAATTTCCAACTAAAATATGATAAATACATACAATTTCAATACACTATTGAATTATTTATGAACCAATGGGTCAGTAGTTTAACAAAAAAAGAAGGTGAAATAATTTGAAATATTGAATAGTTTTAAAAGTTAACTGTAATTTGTCTATAAGTAATGATAAAATAATTGATAGATATAAATAGTTTTATTAATAAATTATAAATAAATGTTGATTAATCATAATTATCAGATCAATGGATTACTGTCATAATCAGTAAACCACGTGTAGATTTATTGACAATTGTTGTTCACAACTAAATTATATTGTTTTAATTAAGTGTCTTCAATATGACAGTCGATGTGAAGGACTTTTTCTTTGAGGCAGTGATGCATAAAAACACTGTCTCTCAGCCTTAATATACTCTACAATTGAAAAAATAACAATTTTTATGTGAGATATTTTTGACACTGTATTTGAAGGTTAACCACATAATCACAGATCAGATTGACTTTTATATCAAATAAAATCAAAAGTTAATTTTGAAAATCCACTGAATATTGTGTTTCATTGTCCGAAATGGGAATTAAATGGGCTGTACTTTTTTCAGCTTCATTTGTATGGGAATAGCGTTTGTTAATAATATTCATAATATTTAGCCCACTCTTCGGGGGTTCTTATGCTATTTTAATAGCATTTTTTTCAGTCATTAAGTACTTTACATATAACCACACAATTCAGTACTCGAGATGTGATTTCAGATAACAATCAAACAAATTATACATATTTTTTAAGACAGTAATTAAAAGCTCAATCTTAAAGTACTTTTTTATAATTTTATCGATTATCTCAGACTTATGACAATACAAACAACACATGATCATAATTTTGGTAATTTATTTTTTTAATGCCTGTCTTTGAGATTGGCTTTGCTTTATCAAGAATAACAAGAAAATTATGGTAGATTTAAGTCCAACACAATTAATTGTGGGCGTTTTTCGCTGTCATTCATACGTACAATACATAGACTGTGAATACAACAGTTGTAATAATGTTTAGATCTGTATTTAGATAAGAAATCTCAATGATATTTGACTTATGAATGCAATATATCTTCTGAAATGACATTTGTTTTGTTAAACTTAATCTCTTTTTTCGTCAATGATTTGAATTAAAGCCAAATATAATTCAAACGATTATGTATTCAGAAAAAGAAGATTATATTTGTTATGAATTTAACATAAATTTACCCAAATATTTACGCATAACGTGTAAATCATTTGGAAAAATAACGCAATAAATTACAGTAAATACTAATTTAAGTTAGTAATTAAAATTCATAACAAATATTACATTTAATTTTTATTCAAATAAATAATATTTGTTATATCGATGGAAATTTAAAATGGGAAACTACAAACTTGTAATGCAATGTATTATCTGATTATTTAAAAGTTATTGAAAACATTGAAGAGATTTCCCATTTTTTCATCTACAGTATAAACTTAAAATAAAACACTTGGTTGAAACGGGACGTGTAATTAAAATTTATAATTAATAAAAAAATTATATTAAATCATCGCTTCAATGGTTATAACAATATATATAAAAGTATTTATTAGCAAACAATCAAAAACAGGAAACAACAACAAAATAATTAATAATTTGTTAATAAAATTATTTTCAATGCATTAATGTTTAAAAACACATTAAATTATAGTGAAGAGTAAATTTCCTTTAAAAATAAATATATAATTATTTAATTAGCATTTAAATGAAGCGCCGATTCTGTCACTTACTTCATGTGTTAAAACACTACAAAAACATAAAACGCTCACAAAATATAAACAAATTCAACACTATTTTAGGCTATATAGGGGTTCACAAAACATAACCCATTATTAAATTTTAGCTCACGTTTGATATGAAACCGTAAAAAAGTTGAAAACTTTATTACACTTTCATTAACTACAAAAAACTAAATGATTAAAACAAAAAAACTATTAAAAACAATCAAAACTAACCGCAAAACTTGATGTCATCCCCAAAGCGTGTGCCGACGGTTACCCGCAAAACGATTTCGACGACTGCCGCCGGAAGGAGGCGGCCCTCTGGGTGTACGGCACGTCCAAAGCGCTGTACGCCAACCGGATCTCCTTCATGTTCGACCTGCACGGGCCGTCCACTCTCATCGACACCGCCTGTTCCTCCTCTATGGTGGCGCTCCAGAACGCGGTGGCGGAGATGCGGACCGGCAACTGCGAGATGGCCATCGTGGGCACCGGCAATCTGGTTCAGGCGCCCTTCTCGAACCACGTCTACACCTCTATCGGTTTGTTGGCCTCCGACGGCAAGTGTAAGGTGTGGGACAAACGGGCCGACGGTTTTGTCCGCTCGGAGACCGTCGGTTGTCTTCTCCTACAGCGCCGCTCTCAGGCCAAGCGAGTCTACGCCACTGTAGTCCACGCAAAGACCAATACCGATGGGTTTAAGTCCATCGGACTCTTCTCGCCGTTTTGGTTACGACAGAGAGATCTGATGATCGAGACGTACGAAGAGGCGGGCGTCGACCCCAAAGAGATCAAGTTCTTTGAATCGCACGGCACCGGCACTAATGTCGGCGATCCTCAAGAGGCCAAAGCCATCGCTGATGCCTATTGTCAGGACAGAAAGGTATGCAAATTAATGCCAAAAACATAACATAAATTGTTTTATTGTAATTATTTGTGTTGAATCCCTGTGTCATCGTTAGGAGCCGTTACTGTTGGGAGCGGTGAAGAGTAATTTGGGTCACTCGGAGGGCTCGTCGGGTCTGAACTCAATCGGTAAAGTGATCGTAATGTTTGAGAATAAGAGCATTCCGGCCAATCTTCACTTCCAAGAGGCCAAACCCGAGATCGAGGTCGTCGTCAACAACATCTTGAAGCCGGTGCTGAAGAACACGCCGTTCGCCGGCGGTATAGTCGGTGTCAACTCTTTCGGCGTCGGAGGGGTTAACGCACACGCGTTGCTTAAATCGTGGGACAAGGAGGCGGACCCCGACATCTTCAACATTGTGACCCCCATCCCGAGATTGGTCAACGCCTGCGGTCGCACTCCGGAGGCCGTCAATCATATCTTTGATTTCATTGAGAAAAACCCTCTGAAAGTGAACCGCGAGTTCTTGGCTCTGATCGGCGAACCCATGAAATCTCAGGCGCCGAAAGGGTCGGCCGGTTTCCCACACAGGGGTTACCTCGTTATCAAAGAGGAGACACTGGGAGACGGCACCAAACAGTTGACATATAACCGCACCATCAACGCCGCCGGTAAGTGGCATTCATTTCAATGCAAACCTATTGCTAACCGTATTGTCTGTATGCCATCCGCCGACCCAAAGGCCGCACAAACCAGAACTGGTTGTGTTTCTCAGGAATGGGCAGTCAGTGGACAGGAATGGCCCGACCGTTGATGGCTATACCGACGTTCGCCGAGTCGCTGAACGCCTGCGCGGAAGCGCTTAAACCGTTAAACTTTGATCTCATGAGTCTTCTGCTCAGCGACGACAAGGAAGAGCTGAAGAAGAATGTGACGAATCCATTCGTGGCCATAACGGCGATGCAGATCGCGCTCTACGATCTGCTCTGTCTTCTGGACATTCAATTCGAGGGCATAATTGGCCACTCGTTCGGTGAAGTCGCCTGTGCTTACGCTGACAAGTGTCTCACTCGGGAACAGGCAATACTCACCTCCTATTGGAGGGGTAAGATTGTAGAGTCGGCCAAATTGCCACGAGGTTTGAAATTAGTCAATACTATTGACCGCATTTGACACTAAACTTGTCATTTATTTGTCAGGAATGTTGGCGGCGGTCGGCCTGTCGTGGGAGGAGACAATCAAACGCTGTCCCGACGGAATCGTCGCCGCGTGTCATAACGGATCCGATTCGGTGACCATATCTGGTCTGTACGACAATATGCTTAAGTTTATCGATCAGTTGAAGTCGGAGAACGTGTTCGTGAGACCCGTAGCCGGCGGTGACTTTCCCTATCACAGCCCGTTCATGAATTTGGTGGCGCCTCAGCTCTTGGCTCAACTCAATCGCGTGATTCCACGCCCACCGGAGCGATGCCCGACGCCTCGTCTATCAGTTTGTGTGCGCCCTCTTCTGTGGTCGCGTTCACCGTCGAGACCGTGATATCGATCTTATAGTCTTCGATAAGTTTACCGAATTTACGGAATCGTTTCAAATACAACTGTTGGTAAGCACTGCGGACACCCGTTCTTGAGGTGAGCACTAATTTTTTGGCCCCTCGAAGAACCATCCAATACGACAGCTCCAGACCGAAGCCTCCCAGACCTCCGGTTATGATATAAACCTATGAATTGAAATTGATTTTCATTATTATCTGTTTGTTTGTGCGATAGTTGTGTCACAACGAGAAGAAACCAAACCTTCGAGGGATGAAACCATGTTCTGGTGGTCGCCTCCACTGTCATCGGGTTTACATTGAGTGTCACTTTGTCTCGTTCTTCGTCTCTGATTTTAATGAGAACTTTGCCGACAACAAACGGTCATCAGTACATAGCCTTCCGCAGAAGCCGGAGTAAGAAGACCTTGTGACAAGCGAGCTAACCGACTTGCTGTGGCGCAAACTACGGCAGCAAGTTGTCATGTCAGTACAGTAGGTACTATGACTTCAACTGCGGAGAGTTGGGTCCCTCTCTGAAGATACAGTCGAGTCCCACGCCGTGGAAAGTGATGTTATTGAGGAACGAGAAGAGACCCAAATTCTTGTTCATTTGCATATCGTATTTGCCGATCTCGAGGAAGCGGCCATTGGCTGCCAGACATCTCACCGAAGCCTATATAACGCGATGAAAAAAATAATTGTTTTTACAAAACATCGCAAATGAACAACACCTCTGAAAGTGTGGCAAAAGTACCTGAAGTTTGTCTTCGGTGAGAGAGTTGAGGACGACGTCGACGCCCTTACCTTTGGTCACTTTCATGAACTGTTTCTCGAAACTCGAGTCGTGAGAATTGCCGATATATTTGTCCGCAATTCCGAACTTCTTGCGAATGAACTCTCGCTTCTCGTTGTTGCCGACTGTGACCAACACTTTGCAGCCCATACTCTGGCAGATGAATATCGGGCGGACAGGGTGTGGCGGCCGCGGGCTTACCTACTCGTGTCTGAGCGGGCGAGAGTCGACGGGAGAGCACTACTCGCTCATTATCCGCCACTATATGTGCTGCCCTTGCCACCGGCGCAGGAGGTCAGACCACTTGTCGGGCACTTCCCAGAGATAGTCTTTGTGTGTCAAGAGAGTGGTGGCGATGCCTTTGAACGGAACCATTCCCATCACCCGTTTCCCGGTGTCGGATCGACGGCCGGCGAACTCCAAGCCTATGATACAGTCGAATAGGGCCGACTCCGGTCCCGGCTGTATCTTTCCCGACACTAACACCACATCCTATCGTCGATGCAATCAATAAAACACACGAATTAAAGACATTAAATTATAATCTAATAAAATGAATGAATTATACTTTGAAATTAAGAGCCGAATTCATCTGTAGTGTATTCCAAAGGAAACCTAAGGAGAGTAAGAGTCCGTAAAACAACTTCATGAACACCACTCGCAGCTTGGTGGCTTCTCTCGAGTACAGTGGGGAGCACTGGTGTAACTCCATGCGGTGTTCGGTGGCAATGGTCTCCTGTTCTTTGGGCAGACATATGTGTCTCAATGAACCCCACTGTCCGTTGCGGTAGATATTAGTGCACAAATCGAGTTGTCTGATGGCCGCGAACGGCGACCGCTCGAAGTTTACGGCTTTCGGCAGTTTATTGTCGCAATCGAATAGACAGCGGATGTGTTGACCGCCGGACTCGAGCCGAAGACAATTGGCGAGACCGACGATACCGTTGAGCGCCGTGTCGTTGCCCACCAGCCATATATTGCGGGCCGTATCCGCGTCCTTGTTGTCGGCCATTATCTCTTTGATCGCTTCCACCCATTGGTCGTACTTCTCGTCCAATATGTGTATCACTTCTATGTCTTTCATTTGTTGCCTTAATTTACGGAACAATAGCTGAGAGGAAGTGATTGAATCAGTTTTCTGTGAAACCAATTTAAAGCCATTCTTCTCCGCAATTGATATGTAGTTTTCTGCCTCTGATTTGTTAAGGATCTCGTCTTTTGGCTGTCGATCCAATAGTTCCAGAGTTGCGATCTCTGGAGGAGTCAACACATGTCTGTATGTCACCAGAAGGAAGCCGTTATCCTATCATTTCATTCAAAACAAGTTTTTTATTAATTGTCTGAAACTTAATGATAATAATTGTTGAAATGAAGTGATGTATACCTTAACCGAGTCTTTGAACGATTTGATCTGATCTTTAAGATTCCAGTGTTTGGCGACAAAATTGTTTGTCTTAAACACTAACAGATCCACAGACGACACCTCTTTGATAAAGTTATTGGAGTTTTGAAGATCCCATTCAAGCATTTTGAGGCCCAAATTCTTCAGATCGTCGGGAAGTGTCGACGGCATCGGATTCGCTACCGTGTAGTCGAAGTTCATCGTAGATATGGACGAGTGTCTCATTGTGTTGATAATAGTTGGCGCCAACAGATTGTTGTTGGGACTGATCTCCAGAACCTTCAGACTCTTGTCGATGCAGTTCTCGAGCACTAAATCGAGCGACGGTCGGATCAGCCGCTCGTTGCCGGCCATCGAATTGATGTAATCGAGAGTAATGTCGTTCTCCGGGCGGCCGAAGATCTGTTTGAGGGCTACGGCCAACTCAATCACCTGCTGTTTGTCGTCTTTGCCCACAATTATGTTACTGTTGTCGTCGATCTTCAGCGCCGACAACTCGTTGATCACTCGCAACAGCACGTGATTACCCGCCTCTTGTGAGTTCTCTTTGCGGTCGACGTACTTCTGGACCACTTCTTCGTCGGCGTATTTATAGCCATTCATCTTAAGTTTGTTCACTTTGGGACTCATTTCGGCCATACGTTGGCCTAAAGCACAGCAAACCTGTATGTATTCAACCAAACTCTTCTTATCGGCCGTTTCGACCGCATTGTCCTCATTGTTGGCCACAAACTCGTACTTCTCGAGTATGAGTCCCTGTTGTCCGGGCCGTCGCGGAACGTTCACCGGTAGGAAACCCTTGATCTCAAGACCTAAACCAATAACAAATGGATTATGTAAATAGAGGTCCGAAAAAAGTTTTATTCATTTTTATAATACCTTTGGTGTAAATGGATCTGTAGTCGAGATCAAAGCCGACGGGAACTATGGACACCTTTCCCTCGTCGTCGGGATTCTTCTCGAGCCCTAAGTTAGAGATACCCAAGAACTCGGAGGCCATGGCCTCTTCGCCGACCTTCAGTGTGGCCTTAATGTTATCCGAAATCACTTTACTTGTGTCCCTCCTATCGTTCTGATCGAGATTAGGGCCGAAGTCATTGACCATCATATCTCCGGTACTAAACTCGTCGGTCTCCGAGTTTTGTCCCAATTTCTTGTCGTCGTATTTCTTGCGCGTACTTTCGTTGAAGTAGAAGAAGTCTTTGGTCTCTTCGATGAGCTGTTCCTTGTCCTCCATCTTCTTCGCCTGTTCTATGGCCGCGAACAGTATGTTTGGGTCGCAGACAATGCGCTGAAAGCCAATCGGTATGAATAGTGTGCGAATGGGAAGTGCCATCAAAGCCAAGTGCATCACTGAGTCCACGAAACTGACCCAATGGTCCGTCCATTTGGCCTTTCCTGCGATCAATACATATAGCGATTGTGAGTATATCTCAAACAATGGAAGTGATTGTCACAAACCTCTCTTTCCGTCACCCCTGGCCTCGACTAAGCCCTGAAACTTTGGTCCGTAATCGTAACCACGGATTCTAAGCTCTTTGTAGATGTCTTTATTGCCGAGAATCTCTTTGAGATCGTCTTCGTCCTCCTCCTCGTCCGCCTCTTCATCCAATTGGTCCTGAAATTCAAACATTCCCTCTTCGGGCGAATACACTTTGCCAGTGGCGGCGATTTGGTTGCCCTCCGATATCGTGAAATCTCCGGTTCCGTCCAGTATTTTAACCGTAAATTTCACTTCATTTCCTTCCGATAGAAGAGTTGGTCTAAAGAATCTGTTTTTTTTGTGTTTCAAAGCATACAATGAATTGAATTAATAATTGTTTTAATGGTATGTTTTGTTTTTTCGGTGAAATACCTGACGTTCTCGAAAACAATGGGTGTCTTCTTCCAGGGCTGACACCTCATTGCGGCGAATCGACGCCACGCGAGCATCAGATACCCTGTGGCCGCCTTATCCTGAGACGGCAGCTAACACACCAGAAACTCCTTTCTGGTCAGCCGCAGACACTACCTCTTGAAGTACCACATCAGCCTTCGCCAAGGCATCAATACCATAAGCCCTTTAAACGCCTGAAGATGGGACTGTTTGTGATCCCATTGGATGAGCGACGAGAAGGACTGAGTGCCGCGCGAGACCGGGAACTCCACCTTCGGGTACAGGTTCTCAATATTGGGATTAATGCCTAAGCAATACATTTGGCCGATAGAGGAGAGGAAGTAGTCGAGATTGTCGACCTCCGAGCGCTTCATAAGACCGGAATAACTCAACGATTGGAAACACCTCTTGAAGATGGACTCGAAGAGCGAATGCGGCGCCACTTCGATAACGTTGGCGTATTTGGTCACTTGTTTCATGCCTTCGTTGAACAGCACCGGACTGATCAAGTTGTTGGTGAAGTACTCGCCTGTCAAACATAGCGTCAAATTGATTAAAACATGTCGTTTTGAGAGCCAAAAAAGTGTGCTATAAAAGCCATACCGGAAGCAAATTTGGCCGAAAAGTCGTTCTGTCTCTCGTCGGGCACTGAAGTGGAGACCCATTTCTCTGACCGCATCTTCGGTTCAGGAATCACGCGATTGAGTTGAGCCAAGAGCTGAGGCGCCACCAAATTCATGAACGGGCTGTGATAGGGAAAGTCACCGCCGGCTACGGGTCTCACGAACACGTTCTCCGACTTCAACTGATCGATAAACTTAAGCATATTGTCGTACAGACCAGATATGGTCACCGAATCGGATCCGTTATGACACGCGGCGACGATTCCGTCGGGACAGCGTTTGATTGTCTCCTCCCACGACAGGCCGACCGCCGCCAACATTCCTGACAAATAAATGACAAGTTTAGTGTCAAATGCGGTCAATAGTATTGACTAATTTCAAACCTCGTGGCAATTTGGCCGACTCTACAATCTTACCCCTCCAATAGGAGGTGAGTATTGCCTGTTCCCGAGTGAGACACTTGTCAGCGTAAGCACAGGCGACTTCACCGAACGAGTGGCCAATTATGCCCTCGAATTGAATGTCCAGAAGACAGAGCAGATCGTAGAGCGCGATCTGCATCGCCGTTATGGCCACGAATGGATTCGTCACATTCTTCTTCAGCTCTTCCTTGTCGTCGCTGAGCAGAAGACTCATGAGATCAAAGTTTAACGGTTTAAGCGCTTCCGCGCAGGCGTTCAGCGACTCGGCGAACGTCGGTATAGCCATCAACGGTCGGGCCATTCCTGTCCACTGACTGCCCATTCCTGAGAAACACAACCAGTTCTGGTTTGTGCGGCCTTTGGGTCGGCGGATGGCATACAGACAATACGGTTAGCAATAGGTTTGCATTGAAATGAATGCCACTTACCGGCGGCGTTGATGGTGCGGTTATATGTCAACTGTTTGGTGCCGTCTCCCAGTGTCTCCTCTTTGATAACGAGGTAACCCCTGTGTGGGAAACCGGCCGACCCTTTCGGCGCCTGAGATTTCATGGGTTCGCCGATCAGAGCCAAGAACTCGCGGTTCACTTTCAGAGGGTTTTTCTCAATGAAATCANTTATCGATCAGTTGAAGTCGGAGAACGTGTTCGTGAGACCCGTAGCCGGCGGTGACTTTCCCTATCACAGCCCGTTCATGAATTTGGTGGCGCCTCAGCTCTTGGCTCAACTCAATCGCGTGATTCCCGAACCGAAGATGCGGTCAGAGAAATGGGTCTCCACTTCAGTGCCCGACGAGAGACAGAACGACTTTTCGGCCAAATTTGCTTCCGGTATGGCTTTTATAACACACTTTTTTGGCTCTCAAAACGACATGTTTTAATCAATTTGATGCCATGTTTGACAGGCGAGTACTTCACCAACAACTTGATCAGTCCGGTGCTGTTCAACGAAGGCATGAAACAAGTGACCAAATACGCCAACGTTATCGAAGTGGCCCCGCATTCGCTCTTTGAGTCCATCTTCAAGAGGTGTTTCCAATCGTTGAGTTATTCCGGTCTTATGAAGCGCTCGGAGGTCGACAATCTCGACTACTTCCTGTCCTCTATCGGCCAAATGTATTGCTTAGGCATTAATCCCAATATCGAGAACCTGTACCCGAAGGTGGAGTTCCCGGTCTCGCGCGGCACTCAGTCCTTCTCGTCGCTCATCCAATGGGATCACAAACAGTCCCACGAAGTCCGCAAATTTCCCGAATACCATAACTACGGAACCGCTTCCGACTACACCATGAAGTTCTCCATCACAGACGCCGACTGGTCTTTCCTCAAAGACCACACAATCGACGGCAGAGTCCTATTCC